ACACATTTACACACACATTTACACACACACATTTACACACACACACACATTTACACACACATTTACACACACACACACACACACACACACACATTTACACACACATTTACACACACACACACACACATTTACACACACATTTACACACACACATTTACACACACACATTTACACACACACATTTACACACACACATTTACACACATATTTACACACACACACACACACATTTACACACACACATTTACACACACATTTACACACACATTTACACACACACATTTACACACACACATTTACACACACATTTACACACACACATTACACACACATTTACACACACACACATTTACACACACACATTTACACACACACATTTACACACACATTTACACAACCATATACACAGAAAACCATTAACCAGAAGTTGCATTTATCAACATTGCGGCACTTCCGGACGTTGTGAAAAAACTCTTTTAACTTGAACTTCTGTCTTTTTTTTTTTTTTTTTTTTTTTTTTTTCCTTGTGGTCATTTTCAAGCTCGGTTTTCTGTATTTTTGCGTAACAATTAGTCCCTCAAACCTGGGACCGTCCCGGGGAAACAGCGACCGATCGGTGACACACGTTGGACTCACCAGCGTCACAATCATCACTATTCTAACTTTATGTTCCGCAAATTCTGAATGGAACAATAATTCTGTGGAGTCAGCATTTGTCTTTTTTTTTTTTTTTTGGTACATTCAGATTCGAGCCGTAGCGAGTTGAAAAAATAACTTCTGTGGCTCATGATTTATTTTAAACTAAACTAAACTCAAGTGTTTCTGCTGCTGTTTCACACGGCTCAGGGTTTGTAATAATACTGAACAAGTTTGATGGAAATTTTTACAGTTGTGTCACGAGCAAAAATTTATTTCAGAATTGTCGTTTATCAGCGTGAATGTGTCACAGCCAGAAGTGAAAAGTAAGTAAAATATTTAGGAATCTTTACATAAATGTGAAATGCAGTTTTGAAGGTTTTGCAGTTTGTTGAGCTCAGTTTGTAAGAGAACCAGCTGGAAAGTTTCCCTGAAGTCTACACTTTAAGAAACTAAATTAGTTAATCTATATACATATATTTAAAAAAAAAAAGTCATTATATATATTGTACACGTGCAAGTTACAATATATCTCAACACATTTGTTCATACATACAAAAAAATCATCAAAGATTATGTGGTTTCAACTGCGTTTCAGTCCTGATTGAGTCTCTCGTTTCAGTCCTGGTCTCTTGTCTGTTTGAGTCCTGGTTGCCTCCTGGTTCAGTCCTGGTTGAGTCCCTTTTCAGTCCTGGTTTAGTCCTGGTTTAGTCCTGATTGAGTCCTGTTTGAATCCTGGTTGAGTCCTGGTTGAGTCCCTTTTCAGTCCTGGTTTAGTCCTGGTTGAGTCCTGGTTGAGTTGAGAGTCCTGGTTGAGTCCTGGTTTCCAGTCCTGTTGAGTCCTGGTAGAGTCCTGGTTGAGTCCTGGTTGAGTCCTGAGTTGAGAGTCCTGGTTGAGTCCTGGTTTAGTCCTGAGTTGAGTCCTGGTTAGAGTCCTGAGTGGTGAGTCCTGGTTGAGTCCTGGTTAAGTCCTGGTAGAGTCCTGGTTGAGTCCTGGTTGAGTCCTGGTAGAGTCCTGGTTTAGTCCTGGTAGAGTCCTGAGTGTTGAGTCCCTGAGTTTCAGTCCTGGTTGAGTCCTGGTTGAGTCCTGGTTGAGTCCTGGTAGAGTCCTGGTTTAGTCCTGGTTGAGTCCTGGTAGAGTCCTGGTTGAGTCCTGGTTTAGTCCTGGTAGAGTCCTGGTTGAGTCCTGAGTCCTGGTTTGAGTCCTGGTTGAGTCCTGGTTAGAGTCCTGGTTGAGTGAGTCCTGGTTGAGTCCTGGTTGAGTCCTGGTAGAGTCCTGGTTGAGTCCTGGTTGAGTCCTGGTTGAGTCCTGAGTCCTGGTTTAGTCCTGGTTTAGTCCTGGTTTAGTCCTGGTTTAGTCCTGGTTGAGTCCTGGTTGAGTCCTGGTCTCTTTCAACTGTGCTTTTCACATATTTGAATGAAACACATAGTTAAGAGTTTAGTTCCTAAAATTGATTCTGAATCATTTTTGAACAAATTCTGTAGTTTTCTAAGTTTCTTGTGTTGCGCTGTTTACAAATTATGTTCATGTAGGTGACGAAATAATTAATATTTCTCTCCAAATCAACAGTTACAGATGTTATAGGACTTGGAGAACAAGAAAAAAATATTTAAAATACGATTTCAGTAAACTTCTGCGAGCAAATGAGGATATATTGATATTATAAACTGACAAAAAACGCTCCCTCCAAGAGAATGGGACGCTCAGACCGGGACTTTCAAGCCAGGGGGACGTTCGAGCCGGGATACGTTTGTAACATGAAATCGTATCTACAAAATGGCTGCCACACATAGACCGTATATATAATTGGAAGTGCTCCGTGCGGCTCTTCTGGCTCCTTCTGGCTCCCGTTGACTTCCGTTAGAATATTGTGGCTCCTCTGTCTGGACCTGCTGATGTGAGACAAAACAATCCGTGTGTCGTTCGTTTATTCGTTTTTCAAAATAAAACCAAAAATGAGAAAACGAAAAAACAACAATTTTCTTCATTATTTGTCTCCAAAACCAAAATGAAAAAACAGATAATGATTCGTTTTTTCAGTTTTTGATTTTGTGTTTAAATGAAAAATGGAAAAAATGGATAAAGGACTGAACCAGGACTAAACCAGGACTAAACCAGGACTAAACCAGGACTAAACCAGGACTAAACCAGGACTAAACCAGGAACTAAACCAGGACTAAAACAGGACTACTAAACCAGGACTGAAACCAGGACTAAACCAGGACTAAACCAGGACTAAAACAGGACTAAACCAGGACTGAACCAGGACTGAACCAGGACTAAAACAGGACTAAACCAAGACTGAACCAGGAGGACTGCCAGGACTAAACCAGGACTAAACCAGGACTAAAACAGGACTGAGCCAGGACTAAACTAGGACTAAAACAGGACTAAACCAAGACTGAACCAGGAGTGTCTGGAGAGGCCAGGGTGATCAGGACTGAGACCTGGACCAGGACCAGGACTAAAACCAAGACTGAGACCAGATTAGTCCTGGTTCAGTCTGTTATCCGTTTTTTCCATTTTTCATTTAAACACAAAATCAAAAACTGAAAAAAAAAAAACCAGAATCATTATGTTTTTTTCATTTTGGTTTTGGAGACAAATAATGAAGAAAATTGTTTGTTTCATTTTCTTTCTTTTTTTTCTTATTTTTAAAACAAATGAACGAACGACACACGGACTCCTGTAGATTTTAAACTGAGTTCTTCTTCAAATGCACAGAATAATTTTTGCGTAACACAGTTTCTTTCAGGTTAGAACCAGCCTCCAGGAAATGAATGAAGTAATGTGCGTATTTCTGTGTGTACTGTGAAGCGGCTGTGTGTACTTTTGTGTACTGCAGTGGAAACTTGTGGTTTTTTTTCCTCCGGCCTCGGTTTTATCTTCACAGTAACAACTTCCTCCTCAAACCAAACGATGAGACTCTGTGACGGACACGAGCTTCTGCTGCTTCAGGCGTTTTATACTCACGCTTCAAAAATAAATATAAGACGAGAGGTTTGGGTTTTATTGTTTCTACAAATAGTTGGTTCAGTCCGGGTTTAGTCTTGGTTTAGTCCAGGTTTAGTCTTTGGTCTCTTGTGTTTGCAGCTCTGTGTCAGTGCTGGTTTATTGTCTGTTTCAGTCCTGGTTGAGTCCAGTTTCAGTCCTGGTCTCTTGTCTGTTTCAGTCCAGTTTCAGTCCAGGGGCCTCATTTATAAAAACTGCGCAGGAGTTGTCGTAAGTTAGTGCGTACGTCTAGTAGCCACAAGAGGCGTGCGCCACACAAACTCCATATTTAGAAAACCCACCGCACGCACCAAACCAGTAATCTTTGCTTTATAAATCCACCTGCAACTACAATTTGCGCACGTAAACCTACGTCACGTCACGCCCCCTCACACCTCCACCTCACCATAAAAGGACAGACCACGCCCCCCTCACACCTCCACCTCACCATAAAAGGACAGACCACGCCCCCTCACACCTCCACCTCACCATAAAAGGACAGACCACGCCCCCTCACACCTCCACCTCACCATAAAAGGACAGACCACGCCCCCTCACACTTCCACCTCACCATAAAAGGAGGATGTAAAGTGACTGGTGAATGAGATTTCCCTAAACATGAGCCGA